TTTCTTCCTGATTCAGTCTTGGAAGATTGTATGTTTCTAGGAATTTATCCATTTCTTCCAGGTTGTCAAATTGGCTGGTGTTTGTATGTTTGTAGTAATCTCTTATGATCCTTTGTATTTCTGTGATGTCAGTTGTAACATTTCCTCTTTAATTTCTGATTTCATTTATTTGGGCCCTCTCTTTTTTTCATGATCAGTCTGTCTAAAGGTTTATCAACTTTATCTTTTCAAAGAACCTGCTCTTAGTTTCGTTGATATTTTGTATTGTTTCTTGAGTCTTTATTTCCACACTGATCTTTATTATTTCCTTCCTTCTACTAACTTGGAGCTTTGTTTGTTCTTCTTTTTCTAGTTCCTTTAGGTGTAAAGTTAGATTGCTCTAGATTTTTCTTGTTTCCTGAGGTAGGCCTGTATTGCTATAAACTTCCCTCTTAGAACTGCATTTGCTGCATCCTGTAGAGTTTGGAATGTTGTGTCTTCATTTTCATTTGTCTCAAGGTATATTGTGATTTCCTCTTTGATATCTTCCTTGACACTTGGGTTGTTTAGTAGCATGTTATTTAGCCTCCATGTGTTTGCGTTTTCTCCAGTTTTCTTCTTGTAATTGATTTCTAGTTTCCTACCCTTGTGATGGGAGAAGATGCTTGATATGATTTGTCTTCTTACATTTATTGTGACTTGTTTTGTGGCCTAACATGTGATCTATCCTGGAGAACATTCCAAGTGCACTTGAAAAGAATGCGTATTCTGCTGGTTTTGGATAGAATGTTCTGTATATATCAGTTAAGTCCATCTGGTCTAATGTTTTGTTTAAGGTCAATGTGTCATTGTTGACTTTCTGTCTGGGTGATCTGTCCATTAATGTAAGTGGAGTGTTAAAGTTCCCTACTGTTGTTATATTTCTGTCAGTTTCTCTTTTTATGTCTTTTAATATTTGCTTTATGTATTTAGGTGCTCCTATGTTGGGTGCATAAATATGTACAAGTGTATAGCCTCTTGTTGGATTGATCCCTTTATCAATGCCCTATTTAATGCCCTTCTTTGTCTCTTGTTACAGTCTTTGTTTTAAAGTATATTTTGTCTGATATAAGTATTGCTTTCCCAGCTTTCTTTTTGTTTCCATTTGCATGGAATATCTTTTTCCATCCCTTCACTTTCAGTTTGTGGGTGTCTTTAGATCTGAAGTGAATCTCTTATAGGTAGCATATATATGAGTCTTGTTTTTTTGTCCATTCAGCCACCCTGTGTCTTTTGATTGGAGCATTTAGTCTGTTTACTTTTTTTTTTTTTTTTAAAGATTTTATTTATTTATTTTTCCCCCAAAGCCCCAGTAGATAGCTGTATGTCATAGCTGCACATCCTTCTAGTTGCTGCATGTGGGACGTGGCCCCAGCATGGCCGGAGAAGTGGTGCGTCGGCGCGTGCCAGGGTTCGTGCCAGGGATCCGAACCCGGGCTGCCAGCAGCGGAGCGCACGCACTTAACCGCTAAGCCGCCAGGCTGGCCCTAGTCTGTTTACTTTTAAAGTAATTATTAATAGGCATGTGCTTATTGCCATTTTGTTAATTGTTTTCTGCTTGTTTTTGTAGTTCTTCTCTGTTCCTTTCTTCTTCTCTTGTTCTTTTCCCTTGTGATTTGATGACTTTCTTTAGTGTTATGTTTATATTCCTTTCTCTTTAATTTTTGTGACTCTTTTATAGGTTCTTGGTTTGTTGTTACCATGAGGTTCATATATAACAACCTATGTATATAGCAGTCTATTTTAAGTTGATGGTCACTTAAGTTTGAGCATGTTCTAAAAGCATGACATTTTTACTTCCTCCCCCTATTTTATGTGTTTGACGTTATATTTTACATCTTTTTATTTTGTGTATCCCTTATCTAATTTTTGTAGATATAGATGACTTTACTACATTTGTCTTTTAATGTTCCAATGAGCTGTATAGATGGTTGATCCACTACCTTTACTATATGTTTGCCATTACCAGTGAGGTTTTTTTATTTCATAATTTTCTTATTTCTAGTTGTGGCCGTTTCTTTTCCATTTAAAGAAGTTGCTTTAACATTTCTTGTAAGGCCAGTTTAGTGGTGATAAACTTCTTTAGCTTTTGCTTGTCTGGGAAACTCGTTATCTCTCCTTCAGTTCTGAATGATAACCTTGCTGGGTAAAATATTCTTGCTTGTACGTTTTTTCCTTTCAGCACTTTGAATATACCACGGCAATCCCTTCTGGCCTATAAAGTTTCTGCTGAAAAATTATGTTATAGTCTTATGCGATTCCCTTGTACATAACTAGTTGTTTCTCTTGCTGCTTTTAAGAGTTTCTCTTTATCTTTAACTTTTGAGATTTTAATTATAATGTGTCTTGGTGTGGGTCTCTTTGAGTTCATCTTATTTGGGACTCTGCTTCTTGGACTTGGATGTCTGTTTCCTTCACCAGGTTGGGGAAATTTTCAGCCATTATTTCTTCAAATAGGTTTTCTGCCCCCTTCTCTTTTTCTTCTCCTTTTGGGACCCTAAAATGTGAATGTTAGTATGCTTGATGTTGTCCCAGAGGTCCCTTAAGCTATCCTCATTTTTTTAAAATTCGTTTTTCTTTTTGATGTTCTGATGTGGTGATTTATACTAACCTGTCTTCCAGATTATAATCCATCCTTCTGCATCATCTAATCAGCTGTTGATTCCCTTTAGTGTATTTTTCATTTCAGTTATTGTATTCTTCAGTTCTGATTGGTTCTTTTTTATATTTTCTTTCTCTTTGTTGAAATTCTCACTGTGTTCATCCATTCTTCTCCCGAGTTCAGTGAACATCTTTATGACCATTACAGTAATGTGTTGCTTAATGACAAAGATACATTCTGAGAAATATGATGTTAGGCATTTTCATCGTGTGCGAACGTCATAAAATGTACTTGGATAAACTTAGTCTGCTACACACCTAGGCTATAGAGTACTAATCTTATGGCACCACTGTTGTATATATGGTGTATTTGCAGTACATCATTGACTGGAGTGTTGTTATGTGGTGCATGACTGTACTTTGTACTCTTTGTCTGGTAGATATCTTATCTCCATTTCATTTAGTTCTTTTTCTGAGGTTTTATCTTGTTCTTTCATTTGGAACATATTCCTCTATCTCTTTATTTAGCCTAACTTTCCATATTTGTTTCTTTGTGTTAGGTAGATCAGCTATGTCTCCTGGTCTTAAAGCAGTGGCCTTATGTAGAAGATGTCCTGTGGGGCCTAGTAGTGCCATCCCGCCTGGTCACCAGAACTAGTTGCTCCAAGTGTATTCCCTGTACAGGCTGTGTGTGCCCTCTTGTTGTGCCTGGGCCACAAGTGCTGTGGGTATGCTTGTGTGCAAGGCTGGCCCCCCCAGGACGGAAGGCATTTTGGAAGAGCTCTGGTGACAGCTGGAGCCTCTTGCTGGGTGGGGTGGGACGGGAACCGCTTCGAAGGAGCATCAGCCAGGGCGGGTCCATAGGGGAACACTAGTGCAGAGTGAGAGGTGCTAGCAAGGTAGATGGAGAGTATCAGAAATGATGCCTGCCAGGGCTGGGTCAGCTAGGTGGAAGGAGAGTAAAAAAAGAAAAATGGCACCCGCCAGTGCTTCCATCCCTGGAGAAAGTTCCAACAGATCTCTGCCCCTCTGGTACGTGCCCTAATATTAGTCAATGAATCTCCTTCACGTATAACCCAGGCACTTTTCAAACTGCTGCCTCTGTGCTGGCCCTCAGAGTGAGTGAGTTTGTGTGCACATCCTTTAAGAGAGGAGTCTTGGTTTCCTATAGCCGTTCAGCTGTTCTGGACATAAGCCTCGCTGGGTTTCACAGCCAGACATTATGGAGGCTTGTCTTCCTGGTACAGATCCCCCCAGGCAGGGGAGCCTCAGGCCCCTTGCTTATCTGGAAGGTCCTCCACAGTTGTGATATGCCTCCCGCTTGTGGTTTGCCATGCCAAGGGTGTGGGTCCTCACTGGACTGCATCTCTGCTCTTCCTACTCGTCTCCATGTGGCTTTTTCTTTATTTCCTTAGTTGTGGAAAATCTGCTCTGCTAGTGTTCAGGTTGTTCTCAGCGACAGCTGTTCTATATTTAGTTGTATTTTTGGTGTGTCTGTGGGAGGAGGTGAGCTAAGGATCCTCCTACTCCACCATCTTGATCCTGCTCCTCAACCTGTGTTTTTTTTTTAAGTCTCTCTAAGAACTTGTGATGCTTTAAAAATATGCTTGCCTAAAACAAAATGTATATGGCTGAGTATTTATCAAGGAAAAATCTTTAATATGTCATTAACTTCTTGCTTGTTGGCCTGTTATATCAACCAGTTAATGTATAATTTTGCTACATATTTCTGATATTTCTGCTAGTAGTTAAACGTAGATTACTCAGTACTGTTTTATGATTATTTTCATATGTTCTCTGTTGAAGTTGTATTTTATAATTTTATATTAATTGACTTTGAGTATATAGCTATAAGTTGTTCACTAGTTTTGATCAGAAATTATAACATGCTAATCTTGTTGGGACAAACAAAAGATTAATTTATGTTATTTCTTAGTACTGGACAAGATTAATTTTACTAGTTCTCTTACAGTTATTTATTTACATGTGCAAATAGGCAGCTTTTCATAAGCAAACCAGAATGTTATCTAAATTAAAAAGAAGATAGAGTAAGACACTGATTTGTTTTACAAAAAGGTAGCTTTATTTCTGAGATTTTGTGTAAATGATAGCACCTCTGAATTTTTTTTGAATAGTTGAGTAGCAAACAAATGTCCCTGCACAGATTCATTTATATGGTGTGTTTTATTATATGCTTAATGATGATCTAGGTCTTAAGGTCTCTTGTATGTAGTCCTAGTACTATTCTTGTGTAACATAAGATATGGTTATGTTTATGATTGCATATAGGTATTTTTAAAAGGATTTTTTTACATTTATAATTAGAAAAAAATTATATCTTAATTTCTTTGTTCAATGTGATTTGGTTTTGTTTTTTGCAGAGCGCCCTCTTCACTACACAGAAAATGTGTTGGAGCAGGTGCTTCGGTGGAGTTCATTAGCTGAACCTGGCTCTGCTTATCTTGTGGTGAAGAGATTCTTAACTGTTGACACAATTAAACACTATAATGGTAGGTGCTGTTATTTTACATTGCAACTACGATTGAAAATTCATGTGGTTAAAGGATAGTTATTATGGCACAAGTGTTATTTGAAAATGTAAAAAATGAATAGCTAAATACAGAATCTACTGATGTAGTATTATAGGATAGAAAGAATGTATAGACCAAGTGCTAGAGTCAGATTTTCCATGTGGGTAGCACTGTGGTAATAGTTGGATAAATTGATGGTACCAAGTTTAAGTTTTTGGAAGGAATACTTTATTTTTTAAGGATTTTTTGCCATGCTTATGTGATTACCTAATTTTTAGATAGATGGTGAATCTTCTTCCTGAATTGTATTTACCTTTGAAACTTCTCTGGGCATCTGAGAAATACGTTTTGCAAACTCTGAGATTGTGTGCTTGTTATAATTCTCATTTATTTCTCAGTAGTACTGGAAAACAAATAAATACAAAATAAAACATTTCCAATAAAAAGACTTGCCATCCAACTGGGAGAAGACGTCTACACATGTAAGGTTAAATAAGAAGTTAGCTAGCACAAGGGAACCATATAAGACAGTCTCTGAACCTGTATGAGATATCAGAAAACTTTTATTTTGAAACTTTGATTCTTCTGTTGTGTTGTCGTTAACTGGCAGATTAGAAAAAGATTTCCTGCCAGCACTGTATATAAACCAACCCCAAAAGTAAAGGATTCAAGTTTTATAAGACAAAATTTACCACAACTTTTATAATTTATATTAATAACCATTATTATTCATTAATGACATATCATTAACGAAGCTCTACATACCCCAAAGCTCATTTAAACTTTTTTTTAACTTCCTTTTGAGTTATGTCATCATTTATATTTTACAAATGAGGAAAAAGAAGCTCTGAGAAATGAAGTAACTTGCCCCACATTGCACAGTTACTAAATATTGGATTTGAGAACAGACTGGTCTTATTTCTAATTATTAAAAAAAAAAAAAAAAAGGCAGGAAGTTGGTACAGCTCTTAAATGCGATAAACCTACTTGGTATGATTGCAGGCTCTCTAGCTAATAGCCATAGGTCAGTAAGTTGTTAATGTGAGGCTAATCTGATAAATTTCTGATTCCATGATAATGTTTTAGTCTAGTCAGGGTGCTATAACAGATACAATAGACTGGGTGGCTTATAAACAACAGAAATTTATTTTTCACAGTCTGGAGACTGGAAGTCCAAGATCAGGGTGCCAGCATGGTTGGGTTCTGGTGAGAGCCCTCTTCCATGTTGGAAACTTTGAACTTCTTGTATCCTTGCATGGCAGGGAGAGGCAGCAAGCTCTCTTGTGACTCTTATAAGGGTGCTAATCCCATTCATGAGAGCTCCACCCCTGTGATCTCATCTAATCCTAATTACTTCCCAAAGGCCCACCTCGTAATACCATCACAGTGGGAGGTAGGATTTCAACACATGAATTTTACGGGACACACACATTCAGTCCCTAAAAGTACTCTTCATATCTTATACTTACATGAAAGTATTTTTATAAAATGCAGGCAGTGTAACAACTTCTGTGTCATTCTGGTCTTACTAGTATCTAAATAAACAGAATAAATATTATTCTTCTTGCTGCAGAAATTTGGCCTTTTAGAGACTTTATCTTATTCTATATTTCTTTATTATTCCTCCATCTGATTTTGACCACATCCTCCCTATATGTCTTAAGGATTGCAATAGAAATTCTCTCTAGTCAACATGCATCCTGTAATAAAGCAGTGGTTCTCAGGTAGGGGCAATTTTGCCCCTCCCCAGGGGACATTGGGTGGTGTCTGGAGACATTTATGACTGTCACAACTAGGTGGGGAGAGTGCTTCTGGTTTTTAGTGAGTAGAGACCAGAGATGCTGCTAAACACCCTGCAATACACAGGACAGCTCTTTACGACAAAAAATTATCTGGCCCAAGATCTTGAGAATCTTGAATTTAGATAATCTACGAAATCTGTTCTAGCTCTTAAATTCTGTTATTCTTTCATTTAACTTTGAAATAAAAAATATTGAGCTTGTAAACTAGGTCCTGAAACATTATGAAATATATATATATAATAGGTTCTTACAGGTTGTTTTCTTTTAGAACATAAGGTCATTTTTTCAGGTAAATTTTTATCTTTCCGGTGAAATTTTTCCTTTTCCTAATATTCCTTTGCAATGTCTCTAATTCTCCATGTTCTAAAATACTTGAAACCCACACCTAGACATAATACCTTAGCTTTTGTTTGAATGCTAGTGGACTGGCTATGGGAATAAAAATAGACAAGAATAAGATCTTAAAAGGCTATGATATAAAGGAAAGTTTTGTGCAGGTGGGGGTGAGGGGTAACCCAAAGCAAGGATACTATTAAGTGCTGTTGCTCTTTGGGGGAAAAAAAAATCAGCAATGTACCGATCGAGCTGGCTGAGAGCAATCACATCTGAGTAAAATCTTTGTTGTTTAAGGGCAATAAAAAATGGTTGAGTGACAAGCTGTACATTGGTTCTATCCACAAACTGGGTAGGAAGATTGGGCATTATAATGATGCCTCACATATTCCTGTGTGTCCTCTTTATGGAGTTATGAGTGTGTCCTTCTGTTGTGAAAGCATCCAGCCTCTGTAAGGTCTAGACAAGCATCTTGCATAAAAACTGGAGAATCTAAGCAGTGAACAGCCGGCTTAAATGATAGTTATAGGGATCTGGATGGAATGTTCTATAGAGTAAAATGTCAGGAAACTTTTGTGTTACTCTCATATCTCCTTCGTTCCTCTGACTGAGTCGGGACTGTAAAACATATCCCTGTCCCTGCACTATCCCTACCTCAGCCAAACCAATCTGCAACTTGTTATTATAATTCCTACAGTTCTTTCTACCAGGAAATGATGTCTCTTTGCATGAAAAAAAGAATCAAGTTTTAGAGTAATACTGTTAGGAAATACATTAATTGGACCATTTCATAGTAGTAGTTATGTAATTTTGGTCAAAAATAGGATTGCCTATGAAGTAAATATTTTAAAAACTTTATAGCCAATAAAAGTTTTATAAATGTTTTTAATTACAGATTGATTTAAATTCAGATTGTCAAAGCAAAATCTCTTTCATTATGGTCGGTTCTGCCTCTGTGTGAATATAGGATTGTCGTTTTAAAGAAGCTCTGGCCTGTTGTTTGTTTTTTATATATTTTTTTCTTTTTTCTTTTCTTTTCTTTTTTTTGTGAGGAGATCAGCCCTGTGCTAACATCTGCCAATCCTCCTCTTCTTTTGCTGAGGAAGACTGGCCCTGGGCTAACATCTGTGCGCATCTTCCTCCATTTTATATGGGACACCAGCACAGCATGGCTTGCCAAGTGGTGCGTCGGTGCGCGCCCAGGATCCAAACCGGCGAACCCCGGGCCGCTGCAGTGGAGCACACGCACTTAACCGCTTGTGCCACCTGGCCAGCCCCTGTTGTTTGTTTTTTAAATCAATTTCTTAAAAAGTCATGATCTTTTCCTATAGTTGTGTCTTGCAGCAGCCTGGAGCTTCCTTCTAATGGGGCATACTTTGTGATAGATTTTAGGTTACTTAGATATTCAGTCTACTTAGCAGATGTCTTCTAAATCAATCACAGTGATCACCTACACCAGAATTACTGCTCCATTCATTACACCTAATACTCCTTGAAATTGGCATCCAAAAGAAAAGTAATGAAAGTAAATCAAATGTGATTTCTCTGTCAATTTGTTAGCAGAAAAACTGGAATCATCTCAGAAACACATTGCTCTTCACAGCAGAAAGGGAACAATGTTAAGGATTTGTTTTCCTTTCTTAAGATTTTCTTACTCTAACCTAGGGCCTGAGTGGAAATTAGCAGGGTGTGAAACAAAGGTAGTTGGTTGCAACTACATTTTCTCTTAGTAACAAATAGTTAATGTGTTAACATTTTGTTAAGACGTAAAGTATCACGACCACATCCCTTGCCCCCTGTCCCCTCACACTTGATCCCTAGTTGCCACAAACTTTACTGTCTACGTATCTGTATCTCTTTTCCTCTATCTCTGTATCTACACATATAAATATATATATATTTACATACCTATATGTGACTTGCATTTCGTTAATTCTATGATAGTTTTTCTGATTTTATGTATCAAATTATAAGCATATACTTTTGTTTGATATTATATTTTCACCACCTTCTTGCTAAATCAAGAATTTTATCAAATAATTTTAGAGGTTTAGTGTAGTTTAGGGATTTTCATTTCCTCAATTTTCTCACTTTATCTGAACAGTTTAAAATGTACACATAATAAGTAGGAATAGATTTTAGAATCATCTAACACTTAATTTCTGCTCATTCATTTAAGGTAATAAAGTTACATACTTCACTTTTACAGAAGTATATGAGAGTAAATGATTTTTTTGTTGCCTCTACTTAAAAATCAATTCTGTGTTTTTCAAAAGCAGCATTTTATTTCTTAGAAACATTTTGTGACATTGCCATTATTGTAATGAAGAGTTAAGTAATTAACTTGAAAAGAAAGATAATAGTCCTCAAATTTCTTTTCTACCAAGGATTATGACTGAGACTTTGAGATAGGGAGAATAAAAATTCACTTAAATTGCCATTTAGACTTTGTCATAGCTAATCTTATCAGAATCTTTTTTTTTAATTAATTAATTTTTTTATTTTTTTGTGAGGAAGATCAGCCCTGAGCTAACATCCATGCTAATCCTCCTCTTTTTGCTGAGGAGGACCAGCTCTGAGCTAACATCTATTGCCAATCCTCCTCCTTTTTTTTTTCCCCCAAAGCCCCAGTAGATAGTTGTATGTCATAGTTGCACATCCTTCTAGTTGCTGTATGTAGGCCGCGGCCTCAGCATGGCCGGAGAACCTGTGCGTCTGTACACGCCCGGGATCCGAACCCGGGCCGCCATTAGTGGAGCGTGCACACTTAACTGCTAAGCCACGGGGCCAGCCCTGTCACAGCTAATCTTATTAGACCATCTTTTATTATCATCTCTTATATTG